AAATGGTTCTATTTAGAACCAGAAATGGTTCCATCCCCCGCTTCATATATGGAACTGCAAAATGGTTCTATATAGAACCTTTTTTTGGTAAAAGGTTCTATTGGCCAAGTATGGAGCCCCAGGGTTCTATACAGAACCTAAAGGAACCCTTTTTTTAAGAGTGTATAGAACCTTTTAGGGGCTCCAAATACATAGCGCTGATAGAACCTTTTAAGGTTCTATATAGAACCTTTTCTTCTAAGAGTGTATGAGCTTTGTGATGGCCGCACTACATGGAAACTTCAACTCACGTTGGAAACTTTCATTTGTTTCGAGCACATTAAATATTGTACAAAATAAATAACTGGACACATACAGATAATTTAGTTTTAAAAACGTTTTTATTCGTTATTTGACTTGGTTTTCTGTTTGGGTGCGCACATTTAGTTAACTTATCTTTAAGGTTCATTATCTTTAAGTTAAGTTCTGTGAAGTTAATACCTTTTGTTTTGAGTTACAAGTTCCTGGGGAGTTGATGTTGGCCTCCAGCTGGGACAGGCAAAAGGATTTGTAATGGACTCTCAGCTGTTTAAGTAGGGGAATGGCTAATTGGACTGCCCCATGTATTCCCATTTCATGGGGGTGGCAGAGTATTGCATTTTTGAGTTTTTTGTTCTTTTTCTTTGCTAATTATACTTTGTTATGATTTATTTGATTGATTTGTCCTTAGTTCATATAAGGTAGCGTTGGTTTGACATGTGTTGTAAATGTAATTATTGTGGTTTGTTTATATACTATGTGTTTGTCTACCCCCTTTTGTGTCAGAATGGCCTGATCAGACACTATATACAGTAAGTTTCCCCATGTCTCACTTTAGAGGGGTCTGTTTTGTTCTGTTCATCCCATGTTAAGGGTATGCTACCTGAGCTAAGTTCTGTTTAGTTGACCTCGTCTATGGGCCCAGAACTTTCTTTTTTTTCTTTTTTGTGAAATAGTTATTTTTTGTTTGTTTTGGAAATAAAAACTTATATTTTTGAAAATATACTTTTTGACTCCTCATGCCTGCCAGCTTGGTCCCTCACAAACTTCTTATCTTTTAAGAAATTAGAAATGCTGTGTTGATTAAAAGCCTTCTAAATAAGCAAGTGAAAACAATTCAGCACTTGGAAATGAAGTTTTCACATGTTTCCATGTTACATCACTTCCTGACTCATGAAATATCAGCGGATGACTTTAGGGTCTTATTTATATATTTATGAACTCTTCTCAGAGGTGAATCTCTGTCTGTCCAGAGAGATTGAGACCGTCTGACAGTAAAGGTGCTCTATCTGAAGGATGCTCATCTCCTCCAAACTTTCAGATTTATGTTTTATGACAAGGTAGAGGACGAAGAGTTGGTCAGTGTGTGTGTGTGTTAGTCCTGTCAAAGCTTGTTTTGTTTATTTTTGTTGCTTTTTGAGATGACAGTGTCTGGAGCTGTGTGTGTGTGCACGCGCGCTTGTATTATTGAGTTTCAAAGATACATACAGTAGAATAAAGAACAGATGTTGGCCTAACACAAAAATTCAGTCATATTTCACTCCTTAAATCAAAAGACTGAAAAGAAATTAAAAAAGCAAATCCATTCCCACAAACATTAATCTACACAAAAATGAAGATTTTATCCACTTTAAAATACTACCAGTAACGGGTGATCAAGAACATCAAATATTAATATACTAATGGTTTTAATACATTTCCTTGTGTTGTTTGTTTGTGGGAAACTCACCTCCGGTTACTGTGTGTTCTTAAGAGGTGTCTATGTGATTTCTAAGTGGTTTCTTTCTTTGTAGAGTGCAGTGAGTCCAGTGTGTGTGATCTTCGGTTCCTCCTTCGTCTGTGAAGCATCATTCATATTCATCGTGAAAACACTGCAGGAAGAATTACACACCAGAGTTAATACTACTGTTATGGGTTTGATCATATCACTAAATCTGACCGAGAGTAGGGATTCTTGTCTTAGCGAACACCACATCAGCTTCTCATGAAAAGCTTGTGTATAAGAAAGAGAGAGAAGGGCACCATGGGAAAGGCCTACTTTTCTGCCCAAAGACGCTCAGATTAAAATAACCCAAACTAGCAGGGGAAAAACACAAGGATGAGCAAACAGAAGCGTTCTGCATGTGCATTTCTGTGTGTGTGTGTCACCTGGGCATCGACCAGGGACATGTACCGAGCGAGGCAGGTGCGAGTGTGTGATGTGTCCAGGTAGTATTTTGGGGCTTTCTAAAAACGGGCAGCACCGTAACGGGACACAGAAACGTCTTTAACCCTGCACTGGAAAAACATGCTTGTAGTTCTGACAGAAAAAATACTGTACAAATGCTATATTAATACGGAAGCCCTGAACCGCAACCTAAAAAAAAAAAAAAGTCAGTAAAAAAAAAAAAAATCTGTAAAAAAAAAACCTGTAAAAAAAAAAAAAAAAATCTAGCATTTCGAGATTAAAGTCGAAATGTTTCGAGATTAAAGTCGGAATGTTTCGAGATTAAAGTCGGAATGTTTCGAGATTAAAGTCGAAATGTTTCGAGATTAAAGTCGAAATGTTTCGAGATTAAAGTCGGAATGTTTCGAGATTAAAGTCGGAATGTTTCGAGATTAAAGTCGGAATGTTTCGAGATTAAAGTCGGAATGTTTCGAGATTAAAGTCGGAATGTTTCGAGATTAAAGTCGGAATGTTTCGAGATTAAAGTCGGAATGTTTCGAGATTAAAGTCGGAATGTTTCGAGATTAAAGTCGGAATGTTTCGAGATTAAAGTCGGAATGTTTCGAGATTAAAGTCGGAATGTTTCGAGATTAAAGTCGGAATGTTTCGAGATTAAAGTCGGAATGTTTCGAGATTAAAGTCGGAATGTTTCGAGATTAAAGTCGAAATGTTTCGAGATTAAAGTCGAAATGTTTCGAGATTAAAGTCGAAATGTTTTGAGATTAAAGTCGGAATGTTTCGAGATTAAAGTCGAAATGTTTCGAGATTAAAGTCGGAATGTTTCGAGATTAAAGTCGGAATGTTTCGAGATTAAAGTCGAAATGTTTCGAGATTAAAGTCGAAATGTTTAGAGATTAAAGTCGAAATGTTTCGAGATTAAAGTCGGAATGTTTCGAGATTAAAGTCGAAATGTTTCGAGATTAAAGTCGAAATGTTTCGAGATTAAAGTCGAAATGTTTCGAGATTAAAGTCGGAATGTTTCGAGATTAAAGTCGGAATGTTTCGAGATTAAAGTCGGAATGTTTCGAGATTAAAGTCGGAATGTTTCGAGATTAAAGTCGGAATGTTTCGAGATTAAAGTCGGAATGTTTCGAGATTAAAGTCGGAATGTTTCGAGATTAAAGTCGGAATGTTTCGAGATTAAAGTCGGAATGTTTCGAGATTAAAGTCGGAATGTTTCGAGATTAAAGTCGGAATGTTTCGAGATTAAAGTCGGAATGTTTCGAGATTAAAGTCGGAATGTTTCGAGATTAAAGTCGAAATGTTTCGAGATTAAAGTCGAAATGTTTTGAGATTAAAGTCGGAATGTTTCGAGATTAAAGTCGAAATGTTTCGAGATTAAAGTCGGAATGTTTCGAGATTAAAGTCGGAATGTTTCGAGATTAAAGTCGGAATGTTTCGAGATTAAAGTCGAAATGTTTCGAGATTAAAGTCGAAATGTTTAGAGATTAAAGTCGAAATGTTTCGAGATTAAAGTCGGAATGTTTCGAGATTAAAGTCGAAATGTTTCGAGATTAAAGTCGAAATGTTTCGAGATTAAAGTCGAAACATTGTGCATTCATAACAGTGCGCGTCCACTGGCTCAGAGCGCGCGCGCGTGTGCGTGTGAAGTCGAACTGCCATGGATAAACACAAAATAGTAGCTTTTTACTTTTATCTGAATTACTTATCTTACTTTATCGTTATAAAACATAATGCGCCGGAATAGACTTTAGCCTATAGGAAAACCAACACGGAAAACACTTTTCAGACTGGGTGGAGAAATCCAGCTTTATGAATGAATGAATGAATGAATGAATGAATGAATAGGGCAT